AGGAGGAAAATCAGCCTCTGCAGACAATCAGGGAAACTCCCCACTGCAGGAGATTGCTACAGGCTAGCAAAAAGGCTGACATATTAAGCTCGTTAATTAATGATGTTAAATAATGTTGCAATGAGAGCTGGATTCATGCCAAGGCCTTCCCCAGCAGCTGTGCCAGTTCCCAAGGAGCAGTGTGGACCCAGCACCACTGCTGCTATACAGGGCGAACTTGGCAAAGTTTGGCTGTGAGGGTCCAGCTCTCTGCTGCGGGTAACGGAGGGAGCTGGCTGAGTGACGTCACTCTGGTTTACGCAGTGGCCTTGACCCCTAAAGCATCAGAGGGGTCAAGTCTCTATAGAAACCCCGCCAAAACACGAACACACAGAGCCCATTCCTTGACCTGGGAACCACACTGCTGAGCCCTCCATGCCTGGGAAAAGGCTGTGTGCCGCTGGGATCGCTGCCGGGAAGACTCCTGTGCCCGCGACATTGCCGGCTGCCTCAGCCTGAGGGATGCTGCTGTGGCCAAATGCTCCTGGTGGGGCAACGCAGGGGCAGAGCCAGCATTCCCCTGCTGCAGTGCCCGCTGCTCTTACCAGATGTGCCCGGGCAAGGAGCGAGGCACCCACCTAATTCCTGCACCATGATGGAGCAGCTCCAGCACTGAGGCTGCTGCAAGGCTGTGAGATGTTACAGGGGTACCGGGTCCCCGTTTTCCCCAGCAAACAGTCAGGGGGGCACAGCCTGCAGGCGGCCCAATGGAGCTCTTGCAAGAACCTGCTAGAGAATGGACGAGCTGCAGCAGCAGTTCCCAGAGCTGGTGTTTGCCTTGGCAGCCCCAGCCTCCATGCCTCGCTTTCCAGACGCCAGGCTCCTAGGGGGAATGGCTGAATGTCTAAAATCAGGTCTGGCAGCGGGGCTGGTATCTGGCTGGGGACATGGCAGCTCCCAGGGGTTGGAGGGCCGGGTGGCCAATGCCCTCAAACTGCATTCCTACCCTGCTGCTGCTGGGCTGGGCTTTCCCACCAGCAGCCCTGCTCAGATGCTACAAGTCCAGGCTGGGGATTCAGTGTCACCTGCTACGTCACATCCCTCTGTTAGTTCTCCACCTGTAAAGCCAGGGTGGATCCCAGCTGCAGGGCCAGCACAGCCTCCCCCAAGCCTGTCTTGCTCACAGTCAAGGAGCAGCCATGGCTTGTAGCAGCAGCTAGGGCTTGGCTGGGGCTAAGGCTGCTCTGTCTTACCCC